GCCACAGCTTGTGGGGTTTTGAATGATGCTTTGTACAACCGAGCTGTGTCCAGGTGGAAAATTCCTGCTCTGCCACCACCTTGGAGGAGCCTGTGGGAACAGCATTGCAGAAAAGGAGTTCAGTTTCTACCCAAATATTTGCCTTTTGTTGTGGTGGAAGTAGTGTGAAAAATTTAGCTGTGTGCACAAGGTTAAAAAAAAGGGAGAAAGTGAAAAGATTTCAGTATTCAGCAAGAGAAAACTTTTGGATTTGTATTCATTGTCCCATAGCTGGAGCTGTACAGTTACCTTATGCTGATGGAAGGTGGCATTTCTCCACAGGCAGGCAGTTTCCAGTGCCAGCCAGGCCTAAAAGCATAGTTTATTTTTCCTGTGTGACTCTCTGCAGTTTCCCCAGTCTGGGGCCAGGTGACCAGATAGGAAATCTGGCATTTCCTCAGTCATGCACAGATCCCACTTCATTCTCTTGTCAGATGCGAGGACTATGGCTGGATTATTTCATTATTTAAACAAATTTCAGAAATTAAGACTGGTTAGGGCCTCAATCATAAGTGCTGTGGCACACTTTTGGGGAGATAAGTTTAAAAGAAGGCATCGCTTCTGACTTATGTGCTCCTGTCTTGGATGGCTTTGTGGAAGCAAAGCAAATGGAAAGTTTTTGTTCCTGCACACAGGTTCTCTGTGGTTTGGTTTAAACCTCATTCACAATGACAGATTCTGCTTGGAGCCAAACACTTTTATTTTTCACCTGGTTACCTTTTGCTGCTTTGTGTATTTGCTCATTTAAAAAGAAAATTCAAAAAATGAGATTTTTTTTTTTTTTCCTTTCAAGATGTGGCAGGTGAGCTGGAGGGATCAGAACAGTCCTCCCTCCCCATGTGCAGTGAGTACACAGTGAGCTCACAAGGCAGCTGCTGACCTTGCACTGTGGGGACTCCACAGTGGCAGCAGCCCCAAAAAAATGAGGTTATTTGTCCATGGTCCTGCCCATAACAAAATATAAGGATAACAGGACCAGCTGTAAGGATAGAGGTTGATGTGACTGTGGTGTGGCCCCACACTGGCTATCAGACGTGGATTTTGCCCCTGGAAGGAATGCATGTCCTGTGGACAGGGCTCAGGAGACAAAGTGCAGCTCAGGTTCCCATCAGGATTGCTAAGCCATTGCATTGGAGGAGCTGAAGTGGCATCATTTACCAGTTTTGACAGGAGCAACACTGCATATTTAAAGCTGTCTGCTGGGGCTTTGGTTTTCTGGCAAGTGGCTCATGTTTGAAAGCTATGAGATACTCTTGATGCTTTCTCAAATGTTCTGGGATGAGCTGTGGCAGTCCCTGCAAATGTATATGATGCACCTCCCAAGGATGTGTCTGGGGGGGGAGTCCAATCCTCTTTTGGAACTTTGTATTGCTTTATCCCAAACGACATCCTTACTGAGGTCCTGGATGAGCACCTGCATGGAGATCCCAATAAATCCTTCTTGCTCGGGTAAGTGTTGAGCTTTTCCTCCCCATCGTTTAGGGTGTGGATCAAAGGGACAGTCTGTAGCTGGTTACGAGTGCCCAAGACTATACATCTTAGACTAAAAGTAATTTATTACTTTAATTGACCTCTAAAAAGAAGCATTTGACTTGAGCTTGATTTCTTTGGTGCATCGTGATTCTCGCGTGGCAGAAAAAAAAAGCTACTCAAATTGGGGGGTTAGCCCCCCAATTAGACATGCAGAAAACCACTCTGTGGCAACAATCTGTGCAATTTTCTAGAAAAACTGTAGCAGACAATTTTTCATCTTTCCACGCACTTAGGTATGTTTTGAAGGGACCTTGGCCCTTCCTCTGTATCGGAGCATCCTTGTTTGAGACCAGTCCTCCTGTCCTGAGAAGAGTTGGGAGCTCAGTGCAGCAGAGAGCTTGCTGAGCTTCTAGAGATTGGGGAATTCAAAACATTTAGTTTGACTTTTAAAAAACCTTTGATTCATTCAAAGCTGTAACCTAGTGTTTCTCCTTCTCTATTCTTTCTCTTCCATCACTTTCCTTTATCTTCCTAGCTTTTTCTTCCTGTGGAGGCAGGAGGAAGTTCAGTGAAATATAAATAAGCCTTGATCTGTCTTTCATGTCCTTAAAATTTTCTTTCTTTTGCTGATGTTGCCACATGAATTTTGCATGAAATCATACATTAAAACAGGAGCAGACCACTAGGTGCAGCTGTGGCCTGGGAGGGAGAGCAGAACTCAGAGGAGCATCCCAGGAGCCATGGCTCCATTTTCATTACCCTGGCCCAGGACACTGCCTGGCACCTCTCTTCCCTCATCTAAGTCAGTATCACAAATGTTATGGGATCTACAGGGAGGAGTGAGATGACTTGATCACCTTCACCCTGTTTCCAGCACCAGCTGGACTTACAGAGCCTATTCTATCCCTGTCTCTCATCTTTTGGCCTGTTTCAGACAAATTTGGTATAAGGGAAGAAGCTTCCTAGCTAACTAATTTTCTGCCAGCACAGTTGAAAACGGGTGATCAGGAAGATGGGCTTTGGGACAGTTGTTTGTCTCTAGCTGTGGATCCCACCTCTGGTGGGACAGAGCAAGTCACAGATCACAGCCAATATCTGTGGACAGACAAATGTGAGGTGAAGTAGAAGGGGAATTTTGAAGGCATATGTGGAAATGATGGAGAACATTCAGTGTGATCCAGTTTAATGGTCAATCAGCACAAATATACAGAAAACCAGGCATCCTTGGCACTGTTCTTCTGTTTATCATTAAAAGGCAGAAGGCAACAGAAAAGGAAATGTTGGCTCAGGCAAATGCTTTGAAGAATGGTGGTGATAATGGTGGTGGTCCTAGGTTCAAGGGGAATAGCACTGGGTCATCCTGACCGAGGCAGAGCCATAAGCCTGTGGGCAGCCCCATCCCTATTTCACAGAGCTCAGCAAATATGCTGTATTTCCCAGGGAAGCACCTGGAGCTTAAATGCACCCTTGAAAGTCAGCCAGATGCTCTGTGCTTCACCAAGTGTGCAGGAGCATGCCTGGGCTGTGTCAGGGCTGGGAGGGGCAGGGGTGCCAGTGGCTGTGGACACAAAGCACCATGCAGTTCTGCAGAGGCATCTGCACCATAGTAAACAGTGTCTGCATGGGGTCTTCTCCATGTTTGGGGTTGCACAGCGTGAGTTTTACTGTGAAGGTGCTGCATGTCAAATTTGCACATGGAGTGTTTTGTGTACGGGGAATTGCTTCATGCTGGGCTTTGAGTGTAGAGCTGGAGCTGCTTCCTCTGGCAGTATATCACTCTGAGTTTCCATATGTACAGGAGTGGTATGATATGTGACAGGCAGAGCAGCACTATGCTCTGGAGACCTGCAGAGTATTCCTCAGCTGCAAACACAGCCGAGAAGCTGGTGGCTGCTTTCGCAGTTTCTCTCATGCCAAGGCTCAAGCAGGAGGAGCAGATACAGGGACAGCACTCAGGTGGTTATAAAGTGTCTGCTGATGTTGGATGTGTCCGATGGGACTGAAGTGATGTTTTATTTTGTTAGATTTTTGTGTCTTCGGATCTGGATGCAGCTTATCATTTACAATCTTCACAATAAGGAAATGGACATTTGGTTAGATGTGAGATCATGGTTTGGAAATGATCTGTAAAGATCACCCAGTCTGTCCCCCCTGCAATGGGTAGGGGTATCTTCTGTTGGATCTCTAGTTCAAATTCTCCATTTAGAATACTTCTGCAGAATTCAGTGCAGGCCTGACCCACTCTGCAAATCTCCACTTTACAAACTGGAGGAGGACAGAAACACCAGTGCATCTCCCACTCAATTCCAAGAACTTCTTGACTGTTAAATCTGAATTTTCTGTCAAGACTATAGAATTATTATGAAGCCAGAGACCATCTGATCAGGAAGAATAGCAAATTGGAATTCATGATAAATTTAAAAAAGCATCTTGTCAAATCGGGAAATGACCTTTTTAATCTTATTTTTGATTAATGAAACTCTTTTGACAACTAAATTGCTCTTTTTCCCTCAATCCAGTCCTGATGAGTGCAGGTAGATCCTAAAAATGGTGGTGTAATTTTTCTTTGTGCTTGCTCTGACTGATGTTTGCCTCAAATCCTTCAAAAATTACATTTTACAGAATTCTTGCATTTGGGAACTTTCAAAAGTGCTTCAGCATAAAAATAAAGCTTTAAAATGTTTTGGTTTGGCTTTTTTAATTCTGTAGGGAGTGACATGCACAAGTTGGGACTCCATCAGTGGGGTCACAGGAAGGGACCTTGTTTAAAAGGTATCTGAGGGCTTCCATGGCCCTTGGTAGCTATTTCTGTCAATGTTGAGTGACAAGCAGTGTTTTAAGGAAACTTCTCTTCTGGAAAAGACTTGATAGGCCTCCACAACTCTGCTGTAGTTTCCTGCTGCAGTTTCTTTGAGCCCACCTTTTCTCAAAACACAGACCTTCAGAAGTGTTGATGTGCATTAACTCTTCTTTCTGCCATTACTTTTACAACCAAGACAGATCTTATACTATAGCTTTATTTAGAAATCACCCATCATTAGTAACCACAATCATTTAGTAGACATATTTACAAGGTAAGTGACAGTGGGAAGTAATTAAGTTTAATATAAATCACACTCAATTTCAAGTCTGCAGGCTTCAAAATAGTAATTAATAGAATTGCAGCTTCTATAAAAAGATGCAGTATTTATAGCAGTATCTTCTTTTCCTAACTAAACACATTGAGTCTAGTGGAAATTAAAATTGTCTGTTCATCTTATTTGTTCCAGTCATTTTCTTCCTGTGGTGCACTTCATTGCTAATTACCCATTGCTTTTATTCTTTGTGGGGAGATTTTTGACTCTTAAAATAATGACGGAGAGGAGGAAGAATTCAGCAATATCCAAAATATGCACATGCCTTGCAAATTTACACACCTTGAGCTGTGGCTTTCTGCTAAATCTGTGTTTTACTGATCAGTGCCTAACAACATGTGCTTTGTTTCACAGGTGTCATGCAGCTGACAGGTCTGCTGGCAGAGCTGATGGTCACAGCCAGGGCAGAAATTCTTTAAACAAAACAGTCAAATAGTCAGGGAAGTTTGGAGCTGTTTGCAAGATCTACTGAGTTGGTTGCTCACCCTGTCAAAAGAAGTCACCATCTGGGACAAGGACACACTGCCAGCAGCTGCCATGGCCAGCAAAAGGAAGTCCACAACTCCCTGTATGGTGCGAACCTCTGAAGTGATGGAGCAGGAAGGTGCCGAGGGCGTGGAGACCCCTAAAGACAAAGGGGCTGGTGCATCGCAGCAGGACTCCAAAAAAAATTGGCCTTCAGAAAACTCAGTCAAAGACTGCGAAGTGGTCGAGGCAAAGCCCCCAGCTGAAAATCAGTCTAAGAAACCCCAGGGTGGTTATGAGTGTAAGTACTGCCCTTACTCAACACAAAACCTAAATGAATTTACAGAGCACGTGGACACTCAGCATCCAAATGTCATTCTCAACCCCCTGTATGTCTGTGCTGAATGCAACTTCACAACCAAAAAATATGATTCTTTATCTGACCACAACACAAAATACCACCCAGGAGAGACTAACTTTAAACTGAAATTAATTAAACGCAATAATCAGACTGTTTTAGAGCAGTCCATTGAGACCACCACTAACGATGGCACTGTCACAAGCAGTGGGCTAGAAAATGCAGAGTGTGATGATTCGCTTCATGGGGGAATCAGTGCGAACAAAGTGCCAGTGATGAAACCAGGGAAGCCTAAAGGGGAAACCAAGAAGGGATCTAAAAAGCCAGAAGAGGGAGTTACGGAAAACCACGTGGATGGCTCTCTCCCCCGCATCATAACTGAAGCCACTGAAGCTATTGCCTGTATAAATGGAGACCTTCTCCATGATGTGTTAGCCCATGTTATGCCCTCTGTACAGCTGCCACCAAATATCAACCTTGTCCCCAAGGTCCCAGTCCCTCTGAACAGCACCAAATACAACTCTGCACTGGACACTAATGCAACCATGATCAACTCCTTTAATAAGTTTCCTTACCCAACACAGGCAGAGTTGTCATGGCTGACAGCAGCATCAAAACATCCAGAAGAACAAATCCGAATCTGGTTTGCTACGCAACGTTTGAAGCATGGTATAAGTTGGTCTCCTGAAGAAGTGGAGGAAGCAAGGAAGAAGATGTTCAATGGTACTATCCAAGCAGTTCCCCAGACCATCACCGTCCTGCCAGCTCCTTTGGCAACTGCAAAAATGCCACAGCCTATCATCCAGACAGCTTTGCCTTGTCAGATACTGGGCCAGACTGGCCTGGTTTTGACTCCTGTGTCAAATGGTTCAACTGTTTCCTGTTCACCAATTACACTTGCTGTTGCCCCAAACCAGGGGCAAAAGAGGACGATTCAGACCTTATCAAGTGCCCCAGAGGCCAAGCGTCCTCACATAGTTCAGGTGCCTGAGATTCCTGCCAAGCTGACTGCTGTTCCTGTGACACCGGCCAGCGAGCGGAAGAAGACCAAGGAGCAGATAGCAGAGCTGAAGGCCAGCTTCATGGCAAGCCAGTTTCCTGATGATGCAGAAGTCTACCGGCTTATAGAGGCAACAGGTCTTTCCAGGAGTGAGATCAAGAAGTGGTTCAGTGACCACCGGTACAGAAGTCAGAGGGGCATTGTGCAAATTCCTGGTGATGCTTTAGGGAAAGATCAAATAGCACCTTCAGCTGGGCGACATGGCCGGTCATTTCACCCCTACACAGATTTCACTCCCCAGAGGTTCAAAGAGAAAACTCAAGAGCAGCTTAGGGCCCTTGAGGAGAGTTTCTTAAAATGCTCTTTTCCTACCCAGGGAGAATTGGACAGGCTTCGAGTGGAGACTAAGCTGAGTAGGAGGGAGATAGATTCATGGTTCTCTGAGAGGAGAAAGATCAGGGACAGCATGGAGCAAGCTGTCTTGGACTCAATGGGATCATACAGAAAAATTAAGGATCAAGGAACTCCCAATGGTGCAATAAGCCAGGCAGAACTTCTGAGTAGCTCTCAACTCCCTGGTGCTTTATCTGGGTCCTCCACCACACTGAAGAAAACGCAAGAGCAAATTCATCTATTGAAAAGCACATTTGCAAGGACCCAGTGGCCATCACCCCAGGAGTATGACCAGTTAGCATCTCAGACTGGGCTCACAAGAACTGAAATAGTTCGCTGGTTCAAGGAAAACAGGTCGTCGCTAAGAACGGGGTCACTTAAGTGGATTGACCAGTACCAGCAGCAGTATGCTGGTGATGGTCGTAACAAGCAAAGCCAGAAAAAGAGCTCAAAACACGGTGAGAGTCCAAAGAATGGTAATGAGGTGTCTCGACAGCATTACCAGGAGCACAAAAAACTGAATGAAGAGAATGGGGGGAAGCCAGTGGTGAGAGCAAAAAGAGACTGCGAACCTCTGAAAGACTCTTTGTTGGGGAATCAAGCAGAGGGTGTGGAGAGGCTGGAGTGCAACAGCCACGATGGCCACGGCAGCGAGGAGAACGAGGAGCCTGCGGAGGTCAGCTGGGTGGAGGTGACGGTGGGCGAGGATGACGCTGCCTCGGACTGTACGGACAGCTGGAGCCAAACAGCCCCCGAGGGCCACACAGAGCTGCCAGACTTGGACTCAGAAAGTATATCTGGAGACAATTCCCACGTATAGACAGGTAATGCTGAGGGTGCCCTGTTTCTCTGAGCCTGCCTTTGCTGGGGTGTGCTTCCAGATTCTGTAGCCCTGCTTCAGTGTAAATCCCTGGAGCCCGTCCCTGCCAGGTGCTTGTGCCTGCTGGATGCCTGAACAAAAGGGAGACCCATTCCCCTTGTAGATTAAAGCCAACTGCATGGTAGAGGAGGGGTTAGTGCCATTTGCTTTGTTTCTTGTCTCCTTCTGGGTCAAGTCCTGGATAATGGAGGTTTTCATTATTTATATTTTTATAGGCAACAAGTGATTAAACCTTTAAACTTTCTGTCTTGAAACAACCTATGTAACCTCTGTAGCACTTTACATAAAACATGCTGGCTGAGCCACACGAGGAAATAGTAACTAACAGTAGTTGCTAATATTCCCCTTGGTGAGAGATCACTGAACAGAGGCTGTGCCTGTTTTTGCATCTCAGGTCCTTCCTTTGCAGCATCCTGCCATGTTGAAAACAAAAGGTCACTGGGGGAAGGGCCTAGGACACAGATGCTTCTTTATGCAAAAGCAAGCAAAAAAAAAAAAAAAGGGGGACTGAAGTGGCTCATGCAAATGTGCTTTCTTCTTCTTGCAAGTGAGAATTCTCTCCAGTCCCGCTTTGTTCTGCTTGCTCTCACCAGAGGCTTAGGAAATGCCCCAGACTAAGCTGTGTGGGTGTTTAGCAGCTCTTCTTCACAGGATCTTGAATTTAAAAGCAAGCTGCAGAGCCTGGCTTTAAAGGGAAGGTTATATGATCTTTCACAGTGTGAAAGGACTTGTTATTTGGAGAGCTGAAACCTGTTTCTGATCACAGTTGCACAGGTGTAAATCTGGATCGAGCACTGTCAGTATTTCTTGCATGTTGAATTGAGTTCACTGGAGCCTGTAACATTTCGTGCTCAGTATAATGAATCTGTCTCTCCCAAACCAGAGCTTCCTTAAACCACAGCTTTAGAGCTTATCCTACAGAATGCTCAGTATCCTGCATTAAAAACCATTGTGAGAGAACACCTCTTTGAGAAAATTAGTAATTTTCTGGTATCTAATAAGTAAAATATACTTTAGCATTTATTTAAAAAAAAGAAATACAAAAGCCAGGACTGATAGAAATGTCTCCACGCTTGTATTTAAGACTTCTGATATTATAGCTACCAGTACTTGGATTGAACTACCTGATACAGAGGTGCAGTTTTTGGTAGTGAGCACTGCTGGCTAGCACTCCACTTTCTCTATGTGAAATGCTTGACCAAGATTGTCTGAGTTGAAAACAAAAAAACCTGAAATAGTATTATTTTTATCTGTGAATTCTGTTAGCTAATCTTGAGAAATGTTATGACAACATTTATATAACAAAATATTAAAGGTTCAGACTGCATTACAAGGCACTGTACTGCATTATCCTTGAAAAAGTTGGTAATTAGGGATGTGAGGAACAGGTGTTACCTGTGTGTCAAAGGCAGGGATTAAAGGAAGAAGGATGTGGGAACATCAGCCAGAGGCACACTGGGGTGCCACTGCTTTGCAGCTACATAAGAAGGGAGAGCCAGGATCTGATCTGCCTTTTAACGTCAAATGTGTGATGAATAAATGCATTGAGTGATTATTTTTCTCTGTGTTGTTATTCCAGAACATTTCCCTCTTCCAGATACAAATATTGATTCTGAGGAGAGGGAGCAGATCAGGGCCTCAGAGAGGTGATAGGGAGGAAGGCAGGAGCAGGGGGAGTTGCCTGAAACCCCTGTTTCTTACAAACCTCTTGTACTGTGGAACCAAGATCTGCAACAGCTCTCTTCCAGCAGTGTAGGTTTGGTGCCTGTGTTTTTGTGCTTGTGATCAATGTCAGGTACGTTGGAGTGAACCTCCTGCTTCTGTGCCCTGGTACAGATGTTGACTATAAAGCTTCATGGCTCTGGAGGTGCTCAAGTATTATCAGAGAGGAATTTTATAAGAACTTTGATCTCAGTTAAACTGTTGCCAAGTGATCCTTTTGATCAGGAGCTTTCTGGTGATTGTCTGTAAAGATGCACCTAGTGAGAAAGGTGCACTGGAGCAGGACCTGTGCTGCAAAGAGCGTGCAGTAATGGTCAGAGGGTCATTTTGTCCTCTGCTCCTTGCCAGTTTCTCAGTGTTCTAGCCTGTGGACTTGAAAAAGTCTTTCTAATTTTCCTATATTCTGCCTATAAGTCTCAGCTGAGAAATGCAAGTGCATTGTGCATTGTGGTGCACATGGAGGCATTGCCACAGTCATTGTGGCACACAATTTGGAATCTTTATACCCCACAATGATGGGACTCATGGAATAATCTCAGCTGCTTTTTCTAAGCTTTTACTGGGCAGCCAGACTTAGAAATTTTCAGCTAAAGCTTTGGTGTTAAATTAACAAGGTATTACCCTAAGTGACATCCAGGGTATGACTCAAAAGCAGAGACTTTTGTATGACCTGACACAGAGCTTGTTTCTGTCAGTTGTCATAAAAGCTGGATTTTTCTTAACATGCTCCTCAGGTACCATATGTAAGAGGTGGACTGAAGAGCTGACAAGGGATTCCTCTTGTCTCTCACACAGCCACACTTACTGTGTGAGTCTTTCACTGCTGAACTATGCATCAGGCAGAAGCATGCTCATTTCATATTCATGGTGTTGCTGTTTTGCCAGCTTGATCTATGTAGTCTAAAATGAACATTTGTTGGTGATTTACCTCCATACCTTCTTGACTGAATTTGTGTGTGGCTTTTGTAAAACTCAGTTCTTCCAGACCATCTCAGTCACTCTCTTCTCCAGTATGTAGCTTTAGGAGATTTTGGAACTATTTAGAGAGCATTTTGTGTTATAGCCTAGACAGACCTTATGCTTTAAAAAATTGAGTTTTTCTGAAACTGATCCATGTTTGGCAGATGCTGCTGCAGCTAGAAGGAATTTCACAAGGGACTGGGCCTCTGTGAGAGCAGGATCCATGCCAGGCTCTGCAATACCATCCTGGGACTAAGAAGAGGCTCTGTTACTAAGTCTGTATCTGAAGCTTCTGGCAAAATTGGATTTATTCCATGGAGCACGTCAGCTTTCTTGAACAGAGAGGCTGGGAGCCTGCCCCCATCGGGCCTTCCAGATGTTGAGTGCTGCTGTAAGGTGCACTAAAGCCACCTCTGAAAGTGTTCCTGAGACTCTAATGAAGCTCTGTGTCCCTCTTGTAGTGAGGCCCAACTGCTCTGTCAACAGAGTGCTTTAGCTCCCTTTCCATCAGTCCTTCCTACAGCACAGGTCAGAATTAGCTCCCTTGTCCTCCTCTGTGCAAACTCGACAAACAGAAACTGGTTAATCTGAATTAAATACAGCAAACTACAGCTCAGACAGGAGAGCAGGACCAGAGCATCCCAGCATTTGGCAGATTCTGCTGGCTTTCTTCAGTGTTGTCTCCCTGTAGGGTTTTCCCAGATTCTGCTGGCTTTCTTCAGTGTTGTCTCCCTGTAGGGTTTTCCCAAGATCAAAGCTTTTGGTTTTTCTCAGAATGATTTGGTTTTTTCCCCCATCACCATCTTTCCACAGTAAACTGTCTTTTTTTGGAGTTATTTCATTACCTCCTTTTTTAAGCATGAGTCCTGCAAGATGTAGGCACCAAAGCCTGTGGCTCATGGTGGGAGTGAGGTAGCTGAACATCCTGGATCTTGATGGCTGTGACCGCTGCTCTGTGGAGATTTGCCAAAGTCAAACCATGTGTGAAGGTTGCACAGTAGGAAAAAAAAAAGCCTGAAGGCAGTCATCCATTGCATCTGCTGAATGCATGATACTGAACATCAGAGGTAGGCTGGGTCCTCTTGGCATCTCCAGCCCCTTCTGCACTGTTGCAGGAGCCGAGATCACTTGTTTGCCAGTGACCCAGTGCATCTGGAACCACCAAAAGTGAACATCACTGGGGTTTCTCACTTTCTGCCCAAGTTCTCACTTCTCTTGAGGCTTAGGGTTTTGTTTAGAAAAGCTCTCAGTAGTGTCTGCTACTGGTGCTGGGCCCCAAGTCAGCATCCTGAAGTAACTTGGCATGGATTGACCAGTTGTTTCAGCAGAGTTCAGGTCACCCTAAAACATCTGATGGAATGAGGCTGAAGTAGGGAGGACATGCTTTTTCCCCTGAAACAAGTGAAGTGCATTAGAGACCCAAGCTCTAATATAATGAAAGATTGCAGAGGGAGAAGCAAAAGCCAGTGCAGCAAATAAAATTTTCCAGTGAGTCAGGATGAACAGGGGTCTGTGTGGGAAGGTCTCAAGGGTGGGGGGAGGACTTTTCCCCTTGATGTTGGTACAAGCCTATGGCCTTTTCCTGGGCTTGACTGCATTGCAGATGCCAGATAGAGCTCACTGTTTTTGTGGGAAATAACAGACCAGATAGCAACATCCATAAGAGGTGTGAAATAACAAGTTAGCTCAGGTTGCAGTGAGCACTGCTGCAGGGTGGTGGGTGGAAAGGATGTTTGCACGTCTTGCACATTCACACCTCAGTGTGGAAAAACTGAGCATAATCCCTGTCATAGAGCTCTTGTTTTTTGCTGGGAACTGGTGATCTGTGTGAATTGGTGGCTATTTGAAGGTTGGGTTTTGAGAGGTCATTTTTTTAATCTCTGGTTGTGGAGCCTTTATGTAGGTGCAGGAGTCATAGCAGAACCAGGAAGTTGCTCTGCAGAGCACAGGCACATCCAACTTTTTCCATCGTCTTTTAGTTTGTATGATTTTCAAAAATCACGTAAAACAAAAGGTATTTTAAGGGGATTTACTGGGGGAGAAAGACCTGAAGTCTTCTTGGTTTTAGCACTGTCTGTCCTGTGGTTGCAGAGTAGTTGCCCCAAACGTGTGCATGCATCATCTTTGAGTTCGTGTGAGAATCTGCCAGAGCCAAGGCTGGACCGTATATCCCTTTGGAAGTCTGTAGGGGATTATTAGCTGGGTGTTACATGCAGCAAAAATGCAACACCCTACCACATGAGGCTGTGATAAGGATAGGCCTCAGGGTACAGCTAACACAAAATAGTGTTACCATATGTGCAGGGATATAAACCAGATCTCATCATAGTTAACAGTTTGTTGTAACATAGCTCAAACAGTTCATAGTGCCTTAAAAAATAATATGCTGCTGTTATAATTTCTGCAGGGGTACTCCTCAGCTGCACTGTCCTGATGTTGAAGGGGAAACGCTGTCTGAAAATAGAAGAAAACTCTATTTTCCTGCCTGGGTGAGAGAGTGTGTTGTGACCCCAAGTCTCAAACCGTGCTTGTGGAGGCACAGCAAGAAATACTCTCTTGGAGCGTCGTCATGGAATTCTTGATAGTGCCAAAGTCCTACTACTGCATTGCAAAAGAGAAGAAAAAGGAAAAGGTTCTTGTACATAGTTTTCTCTTAGTTTCTTCCCACCCACTTTCCTGCCCAGCCTCTTCCTCTGCTGCAACAGATTTGTACAACATAAGAATTTTGTTAATTTTTTTAATAGGTGCAAGTTATTCTTGCATATAATGCAATTGAGAAATTTTGGGGTTGGTTGGGGAGAGGGAAGTGTCTTTTGTGGAGGAGGGAGGTTTGGTTGTTTTTTTTTTCCTGAAGTGTTCTAAGAAAGAGTTGCAATCCTTTGGAGTTGTCTTGGTGCAGATCAACACCTGAGCCCAGATCCCCACTCCAGTTTACATTTCAGACCAGTTAAACATGTTCTGGAGCAGTGGGGTTTGATTTTTTTGTTATGTTGTTTTGACTTTTTTTGTTTTGTTCTATGGCCACCTGCTACTGATTGAAGTATTTAAATCTCTGCTTTTCCATGCTCCTACAAGGCAAGTCTTCTCCAGCTCCTGTACTTCACTTTTCACCAGCCAGCCCCACCTATGGGTCTCTGAAGATTTGGCTGGAATGCCTTTTATTGATTATTGGTTTGGTTTTGGGGTCCTTTTTTTAGCACTTTTTGTTTAAACATGCAGTACAACTCCCAGAGGGGTTGGAATGAAGAAATTAGGATGCTTCATAATCCAAACTTATTTGTGTTTCTTTGTCTGGTACAGCGATGGACACCATAACCAGCAGTCTGCCCTCCAGCTTTAGACCTTGTAGCGCACAGCAGAAGTTTCTTATTAATCCTTGCCACTAAATTTTTAGATCACTCCTAGGTTCCTGAGTGCACTTTTTTTCAAATACTGCTAATTTGGATTTGCGTGGGGATGTCTGTCTGTGCATGTGTGAGGAGGGAATGGAGGGAGAGCAGGAGCCTGGGTGCAAGAGCTGTCTGGTGCGTTCCTCTGAGGAGCTGGGCTGGAAAACTTGTCCACCTTTCAGTACGCTGCACAAATAGGATGCTAGGGAGTTTGAATAAACCCAACTTTTCTAACTTGTTGCTCATTTGTTGTAACTCAATAAAACAAAGGCTAAAAATTTTGCTAACTTTTTTCTCAACTCTTTTTTATTTTCTTTTTTCCCCCCCTCTTTAAAATAAATAAATAAAACCCAAAAAAATCAAACCCCATCCAACCTCAGCCCAAACTTTATGCACAGGAGCTTGATGTCCTTAGAGCTGCAGTGAGGGTTTTACTGGTTTTGCAGTATTTGACTTGGCAGATACTAACTCTATTATAAAGCGAACTCCATGAATATTAAAGTTTATTGCCCCATGTCAGTCAGCACTTCCCTGCAGGTGGGACACAGATAGTGCCTGGGAATAAGCCTTTGGGGAACACCTTTTATTTTGACTGCAGATACACAGACTCAATCAATGAATGAAATCACCCCTGTGATTCACCCATATATAGTTATTTTTATTAATCATCAGCACAACATATAAGTGTAGAGGGAGAATTGCAGTGGGTGGCAACAAGTTAATTCCCTTGCAATAAAGTTGTCTGGCTCATTGCTGAAGAGGAGTGACTGGATGGGGCAGCACTTTGCTTGCTCCATTTGTGTGTCACAAATCAGCAGCAAAAGGGGTGGAGGTGACATCAGCTGCTCCCTGGGCAAAAGCTGCCAGACAGGGAGCATGCACCTGTCCCATCACACACAGCTCAGATGTTCATCTGCAGGGTGGAGGCAGATGCCTGTGCAGTCATGGATGTACAGATCAGGTGACCAAAAAGAAAAAGCATCTGAAGATGCTTTGTCCAGAACTCCAAAACTGTAACTGAAACTAATTGCCACTTTCGTTTCCATTGCTTGTATGAAAGGATGGTAATATTTTAATTGTGCTTAGGAAGTTTCTAACAGCCACTTGATGGCTTAATAATCCAGTTTGCATCTCTCCAGTCTGATGCGTGTTTTACATCTGTGTGTTTGGAGCACTGACCTACTTTGCTTAACTAGCAGTGCTCCTAGGGAGCTTAGGAGGAACAAGACCCACCTGGGTTTTTCTGTATTTGTACATCCCATATACAGTGGATTAGGCCACAAGACTGGGGCTCTTTGAGATCTCTGCAATTCAAATAAAACAACAGCAGTGGCCCTGCAGTCTGTCATTATGCAGATAATAAGTCTGAAGCTGTCCCCCAGCACACAGGCTGGCCTGAGCCCGGCACAGCCCTTGGCAGCGTGGGCAGCCTGGCGGCACTGAGGGGCTTTGTGCGGGCAGGTCCTGCTGTGCTACCAAACCTTCAGAGCCCAGGAGAGCCGAGCCCACGACCCTTTTTGTCTGAGCTTCAAGCAACCCAGCTCCCCACAGAGGCTGCTTCAGTGTGGCTGCCAGAATGGGTTCAGGAGCTGGGCACTGGAAGCAGGCTTTGTTTTTAATTAATACAGACACAGTGACTGCGTTTCTAGGAGAGTCCAAGCGGCGAGGGACAATCGGGACATTGTTTGTGCACGGCAGCCAGTAGGGACGGCCGTGGCCTTGGGGTTTCATTGCACACGATGAAAACAGGCTGCTGACACCGAGTTTCCTCCCACACAGCCCTGCTTCCCCAGAGCCTGGTGCTGGCACCACGGAGGGCAGGGCCTGTCCTGGCAAAGTCCTGCAGCGAGGAGACGGCTCAGGACAGCCTTTCCTGGGCAGGGTCCCCCAGCACCAGCAGGCCCCAGTGCTCAGGTGTTGACTGATGGCTTCCACAATGCATTTTCAACACCTAAGTGTTGAAATTTTCTAATCAGAAGAAATCTAGTTAAACAGAAAATAAAAATAAATCATATTTTTAAACCTGTACAAGACTAAAATGTGGCTTGTAGAAAAATCTGTCACTGGGAAGTCGGTAATGACTTGAATTAGGTTGCCTTGACTTTTTAAATTTTGTCTGATTTTTGCTGACAAGAGGATGAATTTTCATTATATACACACATTACTTCTGCTCAGTCCATAAGATGCTGGGAAGCTCTTTACTGGTGTTAGAGATCTGGGGGCACAATTTGGACATGTCAGAAGCCTTATTAAATGTGAATAGTGAGAGACTGCTCAGACAACAGAGAAGAGCAACACAGAATAGTTTGGATCACAAGGAACCTTTAAAGATCTTCTCATTCATCACCACTGCACTGGGCAGGGATAATCTTTCACTAGATCGGGTGGCTCAAAGTCACATTTAACCAAGCCTTGGGAACGTTTGGGGGAGCAACTTAAGCAATTGAAAACTCCCTGCAGTCCAAATTATTCAGTTCAGTTTTCTCAATTTTTTTTTTCTTTTTTTTTTTTTTAAGGAAGGAAAAGAACAAAAAGATAATCACTTTTCAATCACAATTCTGCAGTAGCACCATTCTAACCAACTTACCAATTCTGACCTGTGGGAATTTTATTTAATGTGTCAGTCTGAAAGTCAGCCAGTGAGTGGTGCCAGAAACCTGCACCTGCAGGGTGAAACTCAGCAGTTGCAGCGATCACTCTAGGAAGAACAAGTCTTCCAGCACCATGTGGACCAGTACAAACTGGAAGGAAAGTGTGGGGTTATACAAGAAATCTGAGTGATTATGAGCATAATGATAATTATGTGATGATAACTTAAACAGAGACATACACATGCAGGTAAAATGGCAACCAAGATAAGTAATATTTATGCATTATATTTTCCATCAGCAGAAATTTAACCACTTAAGCATTCTTCATCCTGTAGCCCTCAGATATTAGGTAGCAAAAAGATGCATCCTGAAATTTACCAGTTTGCAGAAGGAGGAAAAGAATAAACTTCAGAAGCACATAAGGCAGCATTGTAGGAAGTCCATTTGGGATCTTGTTAACAAGGAAAGAGCACACCAGTGATGGAAATGAAACTTTTTTACTGTCTGCTGGGTAAAAGAGAAACCTGAGTGGGAAATCTGTACTCATTTGGTCAGAGACTAATGGAAAGCAGTTATGAATGGGGCCTGTGGCTCTTGAGCATAACTCTGAAAATATTCTTAATACAGCAGGAAACGTGAGTGCATTCAGTAAAAGCAAGAGAATGTGAGACATGCAGTGAAGGAATGAAAAAGAAGCATAAGAAGCACCAGGCAGGGTTCCTCAGGTGTTAGCAGTTGAACCATATCCCAATCAGATTATTGCAAGCTCTGGCTAGGACAGAGGTGAGAACTGAGTGACCGGGTAATTGTCAGAGCAAATCACACAGCATGTCTTGAGCACAGCAAGCAAAAGCAGGGGAGTCTGTGGTTTTCTTATTTCCCTCAGCCTGATGCACCAAAATGGTAGTTACAATTATATCAAAATTATCATAATTTACATGTACCTAACACATCCAGCAAGCTGGCTCAGGCACAGTAAATGGAACATCTTTGTAGTTTCCTCAGTACACAAACTCACCCTCACCTTCCTCTTTTTTTTTTAATCTTTCTTTAAAATCTGGATCATCTCAGTGCAATATATCATGTAAAATATAGTGTGCAGCAATTTTAATCTAAAAAATAATTAGTTTTGCAAATAAGACAACTAAAGAAATAATAGCATTAACCCAAGTTTATTGTGAGAGAAACTGAGATGTATGTAGGTATTCATAAGACTGCTGGATAAATGTATTAAAGGCAAGAGCTGAGCTCAGCTTGGCCTAGTCTTGACTTCCCAGCAAGGAAGCTTACTTTTATATTTGTATCAAATCATTGCTGTTTCATTGGCATTTCTAAGCATTTCTAAGCATTTCACCCAAAGCCTTTCCCTCCACAAAGGGCAAAGGCACAAGGGCAGAAATGAGCAGCCTGGGACTGGAGATTCTCAGAGACCCTCATCCCACACAATCCTGCCAGGACATGTGTCTTCTCCAGCCCAACCCTCCAGGAAAAGCTTTCACCATTCTGACTTAATTCCTTCCACCCTTAAGTCTCTCCCTGAACATCATCCATTTTCCTTTCCCAGAAACCCATTTTGGGTGGTGTTGTGGTATAACCACAGCTGGCACCTCTGCCCTACACAGCTGCTCACTCACTCCCCCTCAGCTGGATGAAGAAGAGAATTGGAAGCTAAAAGTGAGAAAACTCATGGGTTGAGATAAAGACAGTTTAATAGGTAAAGCTAAAGCCATGTAGACAAGTAAAGCAAAAAAGGAATTTATTAACCACATCCCATGGGCAGGCAGGTGTTCAGCCATCTCCAGGAGAACAGGGCCCCACCACACTTAACAGTGACTTGGGAAAACAAACACCATCACTCTGGACATCCCACTCTTCCTTCTTCCCCAGCTTTTATTGCTGAGGATGACCTATGGTTTGGGATATTAGAGAATCATAGAGTAGTTGGAGTTGGAAGGGACCTTGCCATATTCAATTCAATGAAGCACAAATCCAAAATATACCCTAAAAACTAGCTACTGTAAAGAAAATTACCACAACCAAAATCAGCACAGAGGACCCCAGGGGGAGGTGCCAGGTGCTCCCCCCAGCCTGGGTAGCATTTCTGGCCATTGCTGCAGCTGCTGTTTTATTCCCACACAGAAAGATTCCCCCATCCTTTTCCGTTACCGTAGGAAGTCACAGAATGTCAAGTGGTTCTTTATAAACACATCAGAACATGCAATTAAACCCCTCATGGTTTAAGGAGCATTGTTATCTCCTCAGACCAAGAAGCATGGAACCACTCAGTCTCTTCGGCCTCCCTGAACCACTCACACCAAATCCTTAATACCAAAAGGCATTTTGCCACACAGTGGCATGTAACATATATCTGTACCTAGATGTTCAATTTTTACATACTTTGCTTTTTAAGTCCGCCCATAACCCCAGCAGTCCCTGTCATCTCAGCTCTGGGGCAGGAATTTACATCAGCACTAATTTTGATTAATTGGTATAGTTATTCATTATTGTTCATGACACATTTGGAGATGGCCCACATGCTAAGAGCAAGGGGACACAACTGGAGCATCTGCCACAGAAACAGGATGCCAGAGGTTTTGGCACTGTCAGCCCCATTTTACAGAGGGAAAACCTATCCCTGCATCTGATGGCTGGCATGCTCTAAGGTTCCCTTATTAGGGATTTAAACAAAAGGAATT